ATTCCCCAGGGAGTTTCACCGTAAAGGCAGCCGTAGCCATCAGCGTGTCCCCGTGGCCACCCGTTGTTTCGTTTTCGTGTTTGGACGATGACGCGGAAACGAGCCCGAGAAGAAGTCGTCGTTGATCCACTCCACAACGTTACGGACCAGGGGGATCCTTTCGGAAATTGACCGTGAACGATTTACGCCTTACGCGGCAAGTGATGCGTGCGACACCGCCACCACCCTCGAGGACCAACTTTTATCTGCTCTCGTGCGTTTTGCATTCACTCGCTGATCTCCATTGCCGCGGCATGCTTTAGGCGCGATTTGCTCCGAATCGTCCGAGGGGAAACCGGAACTCTTAGGTTTAGCTCGTTGTCTCGATGGCTGAAGTGGATGAATAGGTCAACCGTGGTTGGATTTAAGGGGATGTCGATTAGGGACGTCAGAAATTTTGGGTTCTTTTCACTGGATTTTATGGAGCCATGAACTCTTGAACATTGGAGATACGCGAGTTGTTTAGGAATGTATAAAGGTGAAGGAAAATTAATGTTAGCCATTTTTCTCGTTAGCTATATAACAGTATTCGTTGAAGAAATTTAAATTCAGGTGTGTATTCACTCAGTTTTCACGTTCATAAATCCTCCATAAGGAATACGTAATGGAGCGATTAATGAATTCGGTAACTGCAGAATAAGACAGGAACAATTCCACTCGGAATGAAAAAAAAAGGGAGTTCGCGTACCAGTAAATCTAGCAAATGGCGTGCATCGTTCGCGATCAGGATAATGGATTAGATACGAACAACTCCGAAAGATACGGCGGTGCTGGACGAAGGAAATTCACGACGCCAATTGTTGGCCAGCTTGTCATTTCGAGCGACGAAGGAAGGAAATGTAGCCGAAAGTTACGGCGTTCAGACGGCGAGGGGTGCTTTCGTTCGCAGCCGAGAAACGCGAGATTTTTCGGAAATTGACCGTAAACGACCGGGTCAATTTACCCTCGCCAGGCGAAAGTGACGGCTCCGGTTCGCTTCAATCGATTCGAGACGTCCACCGCCCTTAAAGGGCGCTAGAAAAATGGGAATTTAAACGACCTCTGCCACGCGAGGCTTTCTAGAACCTTAATTGGAGCAGAAGACAAAGGCGAACGGAACGCCTCGAGAAAATTGAACTCGACGTTTCCGAGGATATCCAGAAATGTTTCCTTAAGCCAAGTGACAGAGGTGGGCAACGATTTATTCAAAAACTGAATTCTTCTATTAATAACAGTAACAAAATAGAATATTAAAAACACAAGAGGAAAGGTGTGCATACTTTTTCATAAAAGAAGCATAAAACGAAACGTTCGTAAATAAAGTACTATACCGTTAATATAAAAATAAAAATAAATTGAAGAAAACCAGGTGAAAGATGTTTGCCCCTAAAGAAGACAGTACGTGCAGTCAAAATGTTGAATAGTCAATGAAATCTCCACTTCGAGATACTCAATTCTGTAATACTAAATCCAGTTTCTACTCGACGACGAACGCGTAAACAGTTCTTCCTTATTCGTCGCTCGAAGCGTTTACACGGTTGAGAATTCTGTCCATCTCTGGTCGACAAGAATGGCGTCCGATTCATGGCTGGAGGTAACGAACCATTTCCAACGAGGTCTCCGGAAAACGCGATCGCGTATCAATTTACATCCGTAATGCCGAGCAGCTTTCGAAATCGTTGAAAATGCATGGGGATGCTCGGATCCGATTCATCGGACCACGTTGAATTCGCCTGCAACGATCCGACGACCGGTCGTGTTCATTTCCGAGGAGTTAATATTCAAAATGAACATTAACGGGGACAGTGTAGGGGTACAGGGCTACCGTTAATCTTCGATGGCATGTGGGACCACTCACGGCAGGCCGCGGGTCGCTTTATCGCGCTCGCGTTAATTATGCAAATGAATAATTAGCATTTCGATTATTTCAACGATGCCACAGACACCGACACGGACCAAAATTTATCGATTCTCTTTGAAGCGAATTCGTCGAACCTCTTCTGGGATTCTCTTGATCTTCCAGTTTCGAGGCGAACACGCTCGTCAAACTGTCGTCGCGGTTATTAATAATAAATTACGCGATAAGTTACGACGCGTGCCGCTTTCGACCGCCCTCGTGCAAACGAGACCTCCTCGTAAAATTTGTGACGGCCTTCGAAAATGAAGACACTGTGAAACGAGTCTCGGAGAAGACTAGTCGTCTATTCGTTATGTATAGAGGACAGAGGACACAGTTTCCATAATATATAAATTTGAATTCATTAATCGGTAAAAATTGATTTCTATAATGTGCTTGTGAAATTATTCTGTCGTCTGTGCTCCAAAATGTCCGTCCGGCGGACAAGACGTTGTTTATAGACCCATTTTTCTTAGTAATGATAGTCAGCAGCGCAAGTATTACTCCCATAGCGCTGACATCATAGCGATAACGCTTCTTCTGATGCCACTCATACAAAAGCTGCGTCTACTAAATAAATGAATTTCTTATCTTCCCATTGGACGTCTATTTTGTAACTCCCCAGGCCTTCAATCAATTAAATCATAAACTGATAAGAAACGAAAAAGTGATTTCTCTTCATTTCGAATAATCAAATAAAATAAAATTCTCTTCTAAAATAAAATAAGATTCTCTTGCGCCCTTTCCTTATGATTCAGAGGTAACCCTAGATCCAACACCAATGTATTTAACTGAACATGGTAAAATTGGTGGAACGATTTTGAGGGAAACCGTGTCGCAGGTCGCCAACTATGTTTCTAATCAAAGCACATCGCCGAAATCGGGGAGTATTCAGCGGGCAGGATTTCCGACGGTCGATTCGCCGGAAAGAAGTTCCGCGCTGCGCGATGGTACCGGCGGCAGCTACCTACGAATATTAATCGGTCGAATTTACCGCGGAGAGCGGTCCGCTTCCACGAACTCGCGTCGATTGATCAATGCGAAGCGAATCGAGTCGAGTGCAGAAATAAACTGTTAGTCTTATGAATATATTCATACCGGTTCATCAATATTCAAAACCTACTTTCCTGACTGCGCTTAAATCCACTGAAATCGGATGTGCCCCAGCTCCCCGACGGGAACGAACGATTCCCGGTTTTCTCGTCGTTAAATTTTACGATCGTTCGTCTCGCGGCCTGTTCGCGGCAAGGGAAAAAGAGTAGGACCCCCGAAATCGACGATGAGTATCGGAGAACGATCGTGGATCATTTTTGTTGCTCGGTTCGCGACTTAAACTGCGTTTGGATGACATACAGTTGCACCACCTAGTAAAAGTACCACACTTTCACTTTTTTCTACCCTTTGTGTACACGAAGGAGCTGAAAGCTATCCGAACACTCAAATTCTTGTACCGTAAAGAGTCGAATGGTCTATATACAATCGAGCTTCATTTGACCAACCGTCTTTCTTTCATAGAAGATCAGTGACAATGATGATTAACCGACAATCGCGCAGACCTGAGATACATCGCGTCCGGGATCATCAAAGTTCGTCTAGCCAACGCTACCGGAGCGATCGTCGATCTGGGTGTTCTCGCAGATTCGATGCACGCTTGGACCGATTCCAATTCCGTTCGTGCCCCTTTCTCTTTCGCCCATCATTGCCTGTTGCGTCATTTCGCGTTCGCCACGGGCTCCCGAACGTGAGAAGTATCCCGAGGGTCCGAACGGGTCCGAAGGAACCATTTAGGGAACCAGTTCACGTCGCGATTCGGAAGATCTACAGAGGCTACGGACAAATAGATCACTCCGCTAATGGACGGCCTTCTCTGCTTCTCGATATTACCCGTCTCCCCAATGGAGCGCTTCGGGGCAGGAAATTAGCAAGTCTTAAGAGATCCCCCGTGTTAATCGTCGCGGCTGATTTCTGCGGCGTCGCTTTCGGACAATTTGCCACGACGAAATTTCATTTGTCCCGTTCCCTTTTGCGCGCCATCGCTCCCTTCACCCCGTCGAGGGTCTCTTCTCGCTAATCCACCTTATTTCACTCTTCGTCTCCGTTGCCCTCCTTCGATCCGCGTCTCCGTCTCGTCGAGTAGCTCGAGAGCAGAGCTTAGCGGATTAATCGATGTTATCCTCGACTGTTCGGACCGAAAACCGTGAAAACGTCACTCGACTTCGCCTCGTGACACAACGCCGCAGGCTCGAACGACGGTGAACCAAGAACGAAATCAGATTTCAGCCGGCTGACGGCTTTCTAACAATAAGTCGGATTAAAGGAGGCCCACCTCGACACGGCAGGGCATCCAGCCGATCGATGATACACTCCACGATCGTGATTACGCTCCTCCTGCTTTGGGATCTCTCACTCATCTTGTTTACCGGGATCAAGAGGATCTTTGGATAGAGCCAAACACGCGATAACGCTGGGGAATGAAGATTTCTCGTGCGGAGTCGGAACGTGTGCTAGAGAGGGACTGGAGCTTTGGAGTTGGAGTACGGGTTTGATGATCAGAATTTTTGGAAAAGTTGGGATTTTACGTAAACTGACCATCGATAACGTTATTTCACCTCGTGGAACTAAGGTAATAAGTGCAATGGACACTACAGTTGAACTTGTTTGAGGGTCACCGAAGTTACTCCGATTTAAGCTATACCATGGGATTTAATCGATTTGGAGCACATCGGTGGAAAAGTAATAGAATGGACAACGCGTATATTTAGCAATGAATTACTATTTTGAAAACACATTGTATAGAGAACAAAAGATTTTTCTCTAATCATGAACACCGTTTTGCTGCTAATTAAAAGCAGCTTTTAAAATCCGGAGTAGTACCTTCGGTATTTAAAAACAATTGTCTCTTTTTCTCAGCTCTTTCTCTTAAATTTACAATTTCGAATCCTAGCACCAAACGGTACACTTCCGGAGCATTTCACCTATTTTCTACTCCGAGATTTCCGTGCGCTCCGTTCACGTGGCATCCCCGACAACGCCACATTTCGCGCGTCAGCCGGGACGATAATGAAAAGACTGTCGTGTTGCTCACCTTATTTGTAGCACCGCTTACTGCACCGACGTCGATCAGGCGTAGAACTCACACACACCGAACAGCACGTAAGAAATCATCGATCACAGTCGGGCTCTCTCTTCCCGCCTTTTCTGGCGATCTCGATGAAAATTCGAGCTCACTTCGCTGGTGGTACACCTCGCACGTTATACATATACAAGCGCACTATGGTCTACGAACTACGCGATTGTCCTCGTGGAAAAAAAATCGTATCCTTCCGAGAAATAAAAAAAAAAAAATCACACTTCTTTAGTCACTCCAAAAAAAAAAAAATAATTAATAAAAAATCACTGATTATCTCTGCTTTAGGATGGGTCTTTCGCGACACGATCGGTCCGTTCGGAGCAAGGTCCCCATCGGATGTGAGACACACGTTTCGCGAGGCAAACGATCGGTCGAAAAGCGACGTACCAACCAACAACACCGTACCGTCACGGCGCCACGGCACTAACTGACAGCCTGATGAGAACCTCCAGTTGCTCGATGGAGAGAAGCCAGCGGGGGTAGGGGTAGCCATACGCGAAGGCCTTCTCTTTTCCTCCCACTACGCGAGCATTCGGTCTCCCTCGTGTTCAATCGCGACTCGACTCCCTTCCTCGCGTTCTATCGCCACCTAGTGGTGGTCTGGCAAACTGGTTCTCGGCTACGGGCCTCCACCACCCCTACGGGGTGACCGCGAACCCGGTGGGGGTGAAACGAGCACGTGGGGCTGCCGAAGAGGGAGGTCCGTCCTGCTCGCGATGGTGGGGGACCAGGCAAACCCGGCTTGCTTTGGGGTGAGGTTGCAAAATATGTTGTAGAAATGGGGTGGCCGATGAATGCGGTCGCCCGTAGACTAGGGATTTTATTGATCTTTTTTCTACCCCACGCGAACGGGGGTGGGATGGGGAGAGGGTCGCGTACACTCGCGCACGCTTAATTAAGCGGCTGGACTTACGTCGCGCATACATACCTTGGTGCCCCGCCACCGACCGACGGCTCTGTTACGACGATCTACTCGAATCCCGGTCGACCGAGCCGCTGATCGATTCGTGGTAACTTTGGACCATTGAAATTAACCCTTTGCTCTCGGATGTCTCTTCTGAGAGGACGTCGTAAGTCCAGGCAAAGTTTATTAGTGGTTACACGGGATGAACTTATGAGAATGTAAAGTTTGTAAAAGTATACGATTCCTTGAAGGTTTCTATTCAAACACCACGAAAAAGCAAATAAAAATATGGTACATGTATTAAGATATACATAATAAATATGAGCTTGTGTGACGTGAAAAAAGAATGTATAAATAGTCTACATCTTAAAAAAGCGACAAAGAGCATTTGTATAAGAAAGTACGATGTGGAAACATATTTTGTATGACATGGTGCAATTTGCGAAGATAAATGAGGAAACCTAAGATTGCAACTTAAAAAATAGAAGCTATCTGGAGCCTGTCTCTTGCAATATCAAGCAAAAGCATTGTTTGCTTCATCATTTCCTCACTTTTTCTTGGGTTTGTCTTGTACAGATGTTCCTGTTGTCTTTCATTGATTACTCTTCGCAGAACAAAGTTTCCTCGGGGGGTATAAGTTAATACAGCGAACTCCCGCCGCCTCTTTCTCTATTTGTTCGCAATCTGGGTCTTGCGTTTGCTAAAGCACCAGTACCACAGAAGAGTGTGCGTTGTGGTGAGTTACGATAAAGTAAAATTCATACATAAAATAAGCGATAGGAAGGCACGAGGCAACATTAATCACGCGTTCCGTGCGGGATTCTTAATCCCACGCTGATCGATCCTCGAGCCGTCATCGTTCACGAGGATTTATCGGTGTCGTAACCCTAAAGGCCCATAAAATCGCGAGAATCGTGAGATATTGTGTCTTGTCGCTATCGAGCACCGACTCGCTCGATCGCGACGGGGGCAGCGTGAACCCCGACCAGATTCGGATTAATGTTTACGGCGCCCCAGAGTACACCGTGGAATCCCTCCGCGGATGGAGTACGTATAACAACTTGACAAGTATTAAGAATCGATACTCCACGCAACCCCGGTTTATGACTTATCACCGCGACGCCGAGAGTCCTTCGTCATCGTCGCGACAGCTGTCGATCGATAATTAACCTGCCAACACCTTTTGTCGTCGCGGAACCCACGAATCGGAGTAATTTGGAATCGCGATTGGGAAGCAATCTGGACACAGAACTTCTCCGTCTAACAATTTACCCTTGTTACGAGTACAGATTTTTAAATTCGTAGATTCTGCGGATTTCCAAGACCACTGTAGACCCACGAAAAGAAAGAAAACACGGACTTTGGCTCGGTTTCACGGCAGAACTGACGTCCTTGAAACTCTCGGCACCGCTCGTCGAATCCATTTCCGCTCCAATCGCGAAATAAACACGATTAATCGTTTCGGACAACTTTGTTTCTCGAAGTTTCCAATACCCCGACGCGACGAGCCTTAAAGTGGATTTACTCGATCCGAATGTATTACCGGTGGGGGGTCGAGAAGCAGCCACTCGGTTCAAAGAGTTCCACCACCCGAAAGCGAGCGCTAATTAGCGATTCGATCACGAGGCATCCGATGCCGGGAGACAACGTCGCTGGCTTCTCTTTGATCCCTCTTCATCTCCGTTTCATTCTCTCGCCCTCTTCGGTAACTTCTCGCGACGATTTCAGTTCGCGTACGCGTAACGTTGTTTGGAGAAAGGTGCAAGGTGCACGCGCGATCCTAACAAAGCTTCAAAGGAGGAATTAGCCAGGTATGCGACGACAGAGGGGGCGTTTTCAGGGCTGGGAATTTGCTGAAAATGGCGCGGGAACCCTGTGGAGACGCAGCGGGAAAGAGTTCGCTTTGACATAAGGACTTTCAAAGTCTGAGGATTATGTGTTTTAGAGGTTCACACATTTTTGGAATATTACAAATAAAAATGAGTTTTTTGAAGTATCGAACACGTTACATGGAGTTACTCCCTCTTCTAATGGAATATTTTTCTTGTTTAGAATTCTCGTGATATTTATCACCGTTACCATCAGTCACGTCCGCACACACGATAATGAGAAGTGAGAAGTTACACCATGTTTTCCAACCATGAACCGATTATAGGAAGACACCAATTAAGAACATTTCAGAACTAACCGTTCCGGTTGGTCCAACGCGTGCTGGAACCTATTTCCGCCCTCTTCCGTATTTGCTCGAGGGGAAGGCTACTCGATGTCACCGTCGAACGCACCGCGACAGAAAAAGATTCGACGGGTAAAAGGACCGTCGGGTCCGCGGACAGAAATTAACCGGTGATTGCGAGGTCCTTTGCAACGCCAGCGACGAAGAAGAGGATCAGAGATTCCGTCGTGGAGGTTCTGCAATTTCTCTGTCTACCACTTTGCCGTCTCTGTTCCTGGACCAATCCTGGCAGCGGCGCGCAAAAGGGGAAGGACACGCGCCCGCAGACAAGAGATCTAATATACCCGACGGTTACATTAGCCGGATTTAATTTAAGCCTCGACCCCGCCGCGCCTAGCGTGAAGCTTAGCATTCGACCTACCGCGGTCCAGGGCACGTTGAATCGAGAGAAAGGAAGAACGGAAGGTGAAACGGGCGTCTGTCGACAGACGGTAGCGTGCCGGTAGCGAGACGCTGGCGGTTTATTGTAATTGCACTGTCGCGACGAGAGAACCACGCTCCCACGGCCGAGCTAGTAGCCCGCTAATTCCCGGCCGTTTTGCAACTTAGCCGGAACGGTGGACAGCTTCATTAACAGCAAAAAACCACCGTGACGAACGTCTACCGTTTCTTCGCCGCGAGTTTCACCTGGCTCGTGTGTTCCGGTGAGCGATGCAACTGTTACTCGTATTGCTTTGTTTCTGCGCGTTTAGCCCGCGGACGCGTTAACCGATGTGTTCCATCGCGCCATCAGGACAAAAGGACGCGATAACGAGTTTCGCGGGATCGCTATTACTACCCTTTTTATTCCCTGAACCCATTTCTGTCGCGTGATTAGACGCGAGTGTCGCAAGGAGATGATTCCTTTTTTACACGTAGGTGTTACGTGCTATTCGAAGGGCATCGATGAAGTATATTGGAAGTTAACCCCTTGCCGTACTTTGACGAGTCTAACTCGCGATGAAGATTTTGGCCTAAACATGAATATCGCGAGGCAGGCTTATGAAAAATTTGAAAACGGTCGTTTGACCGGTCGTGGTAGGTTTAGTGCTAGTGAAGCAGTTCTATTTTTTCCCCTGAATAAATATCAACTCCATCCAAGAAATACGCGTAGAGCTACCGAGCGAACCACTCGGTAAACACGCTCCACCCGCTCTCGACGCATGATACATCGCCCCGAATTCCCCGTGGACGTAATCAAACATTGTTCGCGAAATTCTTTGATAAAGAACAATCTTATAATCGCGGCATCAGTCACGAGATACACCGTGGACGCAACAGACCGAGGACTTTTCCAATTCAATGTTTCTTAGTTCCTCGTTTCCGTCTGCTACTTCGCCAGGCAACGACAAATACGACGGCTCGGAGAGGAGGCTAAGCTCATTCTTATTTATGAAAGAAGAAGCGCCGGCGGAGTCCAATCGTCGGTCTCGCAAATATATCGCATCCGCGTCGTCGCACCCACACGCGCTCGTTCCTGAGAATGAGAGGCACGAAAGTGTTCGTGAAAAGTTTCACGCTGGAGGTGGCCGAGGGGCCGCGGGAAAAGTTTTCGACGCGCGCTCTCGCGCGCGTTGGGGGTTGAAATCGCACGTTTCATTGTTACTTTTGTACGTTTTAGAGCGACGATATGGTAGAGACGCTGCGCCGCCGACGCCGCCGTCGTCGGCGAATGTATGGGCGCAAATAAAACTGCCGTGTCGGCCGAACTTGCCGTAGTAACCGTTTTTAGTGCTTTATGACGCCCGTAAATCTTTGCCACCGCGGCGAACCAAGGTACAGGTTATCAACCGTATGGTTAGGGACGAGTTCTGCGCAAGCATTGACGAGGTCAGTGTGTCGATGAAGCGGAAGGACCCGGAGGAAGATCTTTTTGTTATCCGAAGGATCGTTTGGAACTTTCTCGCGAACGGATCCCAGCCGATGTACCGAACCTAGTCCGTTTTATGGCACCTAAGCCCGGAGGCATTGTATTGCGTCCACGCAGTACAATGTTCTATCTGGTTGGACTTGTTCCATCTGGAAAAAATCAGTCCTTATTGAGTCGTCTCCTCGTTAGCCCTTCGCGATATCTTCGAGGTAATTTACGATGGCAGTAAATCTCTGCTACCGTGGAAGGACGTTTACAATCGCCAGAACAACGGTCGTGTGGTAGGAGGTCACTGTGCCAACGGAAGAAGAAGGTCCTGTCCGTGGATCCTTCAAAGGACCCAGTTCTTTTGTCCGGAGGCTGGAGATCTCGGTCAGAAGGACGCGATCAGGAATCTCCTTCTTTTCGCTTGGGCCCTGCTCGACCATTTTGTTTAGTGCTTTACTACGTCTTTAAATCTTCGCGACAAGGGGATAGGAATTTAGGAATCTCGAATCCTTCTTCTGGGGCACTTTCGAGACCCTTAAGAGAGGCTGTGGCCACAGGTCACGTTCGGGCAATAAGTAACGCGGCGAGAAAGAAATCGCGTGGAACATGCAGTCTACTCCACGATTGGGATACCTTCTACGAGACTCTTTTATGCTAAAATATGAGTCGTTGGCGAATAAAGGCCACTGGAATGCTCGTTTCGTAATCGCCTCAGCTGTCTTGTTTACGCTTATCGACGGATCACCTTCTCGATAGTCTTGTGACACGATCCGCGACCGTCGGTGGTGTTGTCGATAATTTGTAAGTATTATTACGTAGAATTTCCACAACAGTGACGAAAGGACACAGAAGCAAATTCATTTCTTCTTTCTACCGCGGTCGAATAAATGATATTCTCACTATTAGGTAAATCAAACAGACTCATTCTTGAATCAAGAGTACAATTACCAAGGAATATCCACATATTTCTCAACTCGACAAAGATCGCAAACAAAACGCAGCCTATTAATAGACCCTATTGTCTCCTCTGTACCTAACAGTACGTTATTCGTCCCGTCGCCTCTCGGGAATGTATCGATCCGACCAACGCATAAACTGGCAAGGTAAACCGCGTTAGGAGAGTACCCACGAACGCGAGATGCATAGGTTTAACCAG